GCCACCCCCCGTGTTGAGGTAGGTTCCGGCTGCCGTGGGGGCCTGGGGGGGAGCCCCCAGCCCCTCGGGGTCCCCCCGGGGAGCCCCCCGGCCCCCTGCTCACCTCCCCTTCCCTCGCAGTCGGGTCTGGCCATGTCGCCCAGGCAGAGGAAGAAGGTTTCCCGCACCACCCCAACCATGAAAGGTATCTGGGGGGGGACAGGGGGTGACGGTCCCCCCGCGTCGCAGGGGACGGGCGGGTGGGATGCCACCACCTTTGTGCTGGCCTTGGACCTGCTTGGCCATGTCCAGCCCTGGGGCAGGAGCGTGGCCGTGCCTGTGGGCACACGGGGTCCAGGTATGGCAAATGCCACCAGAGGGGACAGAAGGCCACCAAGCTTGCCGGGCTGCATCTCCCCGGTGTCACTGGGAGCGTGGGGACGGTCACCACTGCCCCCCGCGTCCCCCCCAGCGCCGCTCCCTGCCTGGCAGAGCTGCAGATGATGGTGGAGCATCACCTGTGCAAGCAGGCGCAGGGCGAGGAGGAGGAGGAGGCAGCCGCTGCCAGCCAGGAGCGTGGCCCAGGCCACTGCCACCACGGTGACACCGAGCACAGCCACAGCCCTGGTGGAACCTGCCCGCTGGCCACACACGAGGGTGGCCCTGGCCCCGGAGAGCGTGAGTACCGCTCCTCCCCGGCCCCTTAACTCTGCCCCGGGAGCCTCCGTGCACCCGGAGCTGGGAGGTTTGGGGGTGCTGGGACAGCTTCTGGGGTGCAGCACTCACCCCCTGCCCCATGGCGCCCGCAGGGACCCGCGGGGACGGGCAGCAAAGCCTGGCCGAGGAGGGCACCCATATAGCACCAAAGGAAGGCGCCGGCAAGGGTGCTGCCAGCAGCCAGTAGGTAGGTACTGGGACACTGGGTGGGCACTGGGACACTGTACTGGGGCACTGGGGGGTCACTGGGACACTGTACTGGGGCACTAGGGGAGTACTGGGACATTGTATTGTGGTACTGGGACACTGTACTGGGGCACTGGGGAGGTAGAGGGACACTGGGGGGGGTACTGGGGAAGTACTGGGACACTGTGGAGGTATCCTGGGCACCATGCCAGGGAAGGGGACGGTGGCACAGGGCGAGGGTGGCACCGGGGACGTGGCTCCAGCATCGCTGGGGTTGGGGTAGGGAAGAGGACCCTTCGCCGCAGGGACCCCCGCCGCGGGGTCCCCGTCCCCCAGCGTGGCTCCCCCTGTCCCCAGGTGCCAGCGGCGGCGGGAGCGAGGCCGCGGCCGGGCCGAAGGAGCCGAACGCCGCAATATTTTTTTTATCTGATCGTTTTCTAAGATTTCGACGGCTGCTTTGGGTCTTCCGGAGGATTTTTTTTACTGCCGCGGGCAGGTCCCCCCCGGGGGGGCTCTGGGGACGAGGGCAAGCCAGGCTGCCCGCCCTGTCCCCTCGCCCCCCCCGGTCCCCAGGGCAGGTGACACTGGGGACACCGAGCAGCACCCCTCGCGCACGTGCTGCCACCCCCCTCACTGCCAGCCCCGGGGTGTCCCCAGGGCCACCCTGCTGTCACCACCCCCCCAGGCTGGGGGACACATGGCCCCGCTGCTCCCAGGGACACGGGGAGCTGCACCCCGCCCAGCACACGCATGTGTGCATGCACACGCAGGTTGGTGTGCACGCTTGCACACGTGTGGCGGAGGGGCGTGCACACGCATGCACCCGTGGGGGAGCCCCGGGCATTCGCACACCCCGCTGCGCGCACACGCGTCTGCACACACGGACGCGGGAGGGGGATGCCCGCGCACTTTGCACATGTGATTCGCATGCACGCCCATGTGCGTACACACAGAACACACGTGCACACGCCTGGGTGGGCGCGGGGACCCCCCGCCTCAGCCGGTATTAAAGGGATCCCTTCTCCCCGCCGCCTCCTCCTTGCCTTCGTGACGGGGGACGCGGGGGGCCGGGACCCCCCTTGGGTGCTGGGGGGCAGCACCCACCTCCGGGGGTCTGATCCAGCCCTGCCACCCACTCTGTCCCCCTCCCGGCCGGTCCCAGGCCACGGCACCGGGTCCCCAGTGCGTGGGACGAGGGTGCGGGAACCAGGTTGGTGGTGGTGTACGGTTTATTAATTGCTCGTTAGCAGCGGCGCTTCGTTTCACATGCGTGTGTGGGTGGGCGCGAGGTGGAATTCTGCCAGCAGTGACCGGGTGGGGACACAACGCGTTACCGCAGGGTAGAAAAGTACAAACACAGACGGGCCGTGCCGCGGCGGCCGGGCGCTGGGCGACGGACACGGTGGGGCAGGGGGGCCGGAGCCGAGATGCCGAAGCAGGAGGATGCCGGAGGTGGAAGAGGCTGGAGGCACGCCGGGAGCCGGAGGATGCTCGAGGCATGCCGGAGCTGGGATGCCAAGAGGATGCGCAGGGCGCACTGGGGCCGGGATGCCAGAGGCATGGCGGGGCCGAGGAAGCGGGGGGATACCGGGGGCATGCTGGAGCTGGAGGATGCTGGAGTCACGCCGGAGCCAGCGATGCTGGAAGCACACCGGAGCCAGAAGGTGCTGGAGACCCCTGGAGCTGGGGGATGCCGGCACCGGGGGCTGGCACTGTCACTTCAGGGTCCAATCCTGCCCTCCCACCGTGCCCCCGCGCGCGCTGCCCCGTCACCGCCTCGCTGCCCCCCGCGTCTCCCAGCCTCGCCCACGCCGCGCGGGGCAGGGCCCCGAGGGGAAGCCCTGAGGTGCCCTTAGGGTCAGCGGACCTGGGGACAGGTCCCATAGGGAGCTGTCCCCAGCCCGGGGTGACAGAGAGACACATATCCCAGGACAGGGCTGCTCAGGGCACGTAGGGGACGTTTGGGGCCACCCATCGCGGTGTGGTTGGACAGACCCAGCAGGAACAGAGGGAACCACGGTGGCCCTCGAGGTGACAACGTACCCGACACGGCTCCTCCATCCCTCGGTCCCCTACTGTCCCCAGCACCACCATCATCATCCCCAGCTCCCCCCAAGCACCCAGCGGGGTGAGAAGCAGCTTTTTTAAAAAGCCATAAGGACAAAACCCAGCGGCAGGGGCCAGGCAGCCGCTGGTGTGGCAGTGAGAGGGTCGGCGTCACCGTCACCCGTGGCCTGAGGCCAACCCGCTCCGAGGCCATGTTGGCAGAGGGAA